TGTCGTTTGCAGGGAGTTCGTTTTCCTTTCTTGAGTTGTGTCTGTAATATCACTAGATGTCTAAACGTGTGAAGTAAAGTAACAGAACAGTTACAGCACTGCCAGAGTTTATATCAACAAGCAAGATTTAAATGTGTCACCAGCAGCTCAAGTGGAAGGATCATTTTATCACAGTTTTCTGTTTGTGTTCTCGATAAACTACATCAAAAAGGCATTTAGCATAGTCTGAAATGGATCTGAAACCACTATGGTACAGCAAAGACACATTCACACACCAATTCAACAGGAAATGATCAAAAAATGACTTCCTAGATCACCGAAGGGCATACTTAAAAAGGGGAGGAGTACTAAAGCCAGCAGCATAAAAAGCAAACTAAGCACTGACTGACTAAGCAAAGCTATAACCCAACCGGCCAACAGCAGCTCCATGGTGGGGTTATTTAGAATGAACCAGATGGGAACTCTTTTTCCATTTTAGCCACCTTAGACTGAGCTAAAGTCTAACCCTACCTTCAGAACTAATCCTATATTTACCACCAAATCAGAAAAAGTCGGGCTAAAATGGCAGAAAATGGAATCATTCCTGCAATTGATTTGGCTACAGGACAAACCCAATATGTTCCAGCTAGATGAACACCAAGAATACCAAGAACTGGACCTATTTTATTAAATAAAATTAGTTATGTCAGACAGATCGTGACAATTCCTAATGTGATCAGCAACAACATGAAAATCCTGATTGTCCTTCTTCTTAATATTATTACATGTTTGTTTTGCCATTGTTGCTGTATTTCTGACGCTGTCAAAACGTAGTCTTTTGTGGTTGTAAAGACAAAGCATACATGTCCCTGTGTGGATGTACTCAGTGGTGCTCTCCTCAGCTGTACACGCATGTGCCTGTGGTTACCGCGTGTTGTGGGGCTTGTTGAGCTGTGCAGTGCACAATATTGCAGATAGGGCACATGTCTTGGATTATGTGAGTATTATCTGAGATGCTGCCCTGCTTGTGGCTTTAATGGGAATGAATGAACTTGCTGTTGGACCCGCGTTGCCTAAGTGTTTTGTATTGTGGTGCTCTTTGTGTTTCTCTTAAACAGAAAAATAAAGAACAGAGTTGTTGTTAACAGTTTGTTTT